TGTGTGTGTGTGTGTGTGTATATATATATATGTTAAAAAAAACTTGCTACGTGTACTGCGTTGGGCTAACCAAGACTTGTTATAACACTTACATTTTATTGCTCTTTTGTTGATTTTGACTGCTTCTATTGTCCTCATCTGTAAGTCGCTTTGGATAGAAGCGTCTGCTAAATGTCTAAATGTAAATGTCATGTAAATGTAAGAAAGAGTGATTACTGTATGAGTGTGTGTTTGTACCTCTCTCTCGTGCTCATCGCCGGTTGTGTGTTGAGGAAAGACAGCTGTTGCTCCAGACTGCAGACGCGAAACGCCAGATAACACGATGAAATGATGAGCAAAATGATGCTGAAACACAAACACACACGCGGTTAACATGCATGTTAATGACTTTCCATTAAAATAACTAGACTAAAGAAGTCAAACTGCTCTGGTTGAGAAAGTAAACAAATCTTGCTATTATTATTATATATAAAAGTATACGTTATAATAATGATAAATTCAATCATTTGACATTTTTATCATGTAATTATTTATTATTTATTGTAATATTATTTATAAAAATTTTAAATGAATATATTTGACATTTTAGATGTTTTTATTAGAAAATAGAATTTTAACCATTTTTAGCAATTATTAGAAATAGAACAATACATTATTATTCGTAATATTTCTAAATTAATTCTCACTGCCATTATTAATTATTCTAAATAAAATAGTTAATAATATACATTATTATTTATAAAATTATAAATTAATTATTTGACATTTTTGATGCTTCCGTTCTGTTAAAAAACTAAGACTAAAGAAGTCAAACTACTCTGGCTGAGAAAATAAATGCTACTTCACATTACCAATATTAAATATTATAGATATAAATATTCGTTGTTATTTATAACAAATTTATTAGACATTTCTTTATGCTTTTATTATATTTTTGTTAACAACACCCCATTAATCATTATTAACAATTACACATTATTTGTAATTATTACAAATTCTCTTTTGACATTTGATGCTTTTATTATGTTCTTGTATTAATTATTAATTTATTATTATACATAAAATAATTATTAAAAAAATCCACAATTCTTGACTCTTTAATTATGTTCTTGTTAATGACTTTCCTTTAAAAAAATAAGACAAAAAATGTTTTGTTTGAGAAAGTAAACCAATCTGCAGGTTCTCATTGCTATTATTAATGATTATAAATACAATTATACATTATTATTAATATAGATTAATGAATTACTTAAGATTAATTATTATTAATTAGATTATTATTATGTTACACAAATTAATTTATTTGACATTTTTATTATGTTCTTATTAACGACATTCCAAATAAAAATGAAGACAAAAAAAAAAACTGCTCTAGTTGAATAAACAAGTAAACAAATCTGCTAGTTGCTACTATTATTGTTATTATAAATATGTTTATAATCATTATAGTTATAATAGTGCATTATTATTTATAATAATAATAATAAATTATTTTATTATTAATTATTTCTAATACACTAATACAGCACTTCATTAAGAGGTTGTGACTAGCAGGACATATTATGAGGTAATTATGTATAAATTTAGTTTATAACAAATAATTTTGGAGTGATTCCACTGAACAACCAGAAGAGGGCGACATCACACGACAAAAATGCATGACTTCCTGAATGAGTTTTGAGGTCAAGAGTTTCTCTTTTTCTGTATGAATAATTGCTTTATATTTATCCTGCGTGTAAAACGGTAAGCGTTTGAACAGCAGCAGAAGGAAAGGAGCGTCTCTGGACTCACAGCAGAATGAAGAACTTGAGCAGATGATACTCCATGTGACCCAGTTCAGACACGGGTTCAGTCAGCAGGATCTTCTCGGCCTCCAGCCGTCTCTCTGAGGATCACAAAACATCATTTGGCTTTGTTTTGTTGTTTCAAAATCTTCACGCAGAGCCAAGAATCTCCTGTTTATTTCAAACTCGCCGTTGTGCGTCAAATGCACCGAACAAACACAACAAAGTGAAACAGACCGTTTTTAACTCTTAACAGGCGTCTCATAGTCAAATATCAAACGCAGCGAGTTAAATTCAATGCGCTTTATAATCAAATAACATGTGGATATTTTCCTAACTCCGTCACGCCCAGAAACCGTCCCGTCACAGCCTGCGGACCGTAACGTGAGACACTAATATTTGGACAAAGACGTGAAGAACAGGAGCAATAGTTCATTAAAGAGCTCGCCGATGAGAATAAACAGAAGCGTGTGACTAACTGAGAAACAAACATTTGATTATTTCAACTGTAAATTAATGATGGTGTTTAGATTACAGTTAAAGGGGATCAAGTGCTCTTCAATTATGAATAATGAAAGAAAAACAATTAATGAATGAATAATGACGTGGCTATATTGCACATTTTAATTTTACTTTGCTATGTTAGTACATGCAATTTATAATCATAAATCATCATAAATATAAAAAGCTATTATATAATTAATAAATTACTCTCTCTCTCTCTCTCTCTATATATATAAACACTTATTATATCATTTAAAATTATGTAATTTATTAATTATATATAATATTATATTAAATATTATATGATGTGTAATATATTATTATATAAATAATATAATTATTAAATACATATTGTATGATATATTATAATATATTATATATTAACATATGTATATGTTTTTATTTATATATAATATATGATAAATAAAAATATATACAATTATAATATATATAAATAAATTATAAATCATTTCAATATATTATTTTAATAATTTTAGACATATATTTAAA